TATATATATATATATATATATATATATATATCTATATATATATATATCAGGATTTCGGGCATCCCACTCGATAGAATTAATAAGTGTTGACAGGATTTGTAGATGGAAATTTCGAGTGGAATTTTTATTCATTTATTAGACCTAACCAGGAAGGAACAGTTGCATTTTCCACCTATACTCCAATAATCAATCTCAACCAAGTGAAGTGCGGGAAAAAATCGTTCAAGTTCATACCAGCGCTAACTATGACAATGTGTGCTGCATTGTTGATATACCTCTGCATAAGACTGATTTGCCAGACAATATTTTAAATTGGCAACCATGGAGTAATCATGGCCGCCGCGAATAAATGAAAAAGAATAAGGAAACGCTATACTATATATTGACATCAATGGTCAATGGTGTGATTTTATAAATTCCCTTTAGGTGATGAATTACTCGCTTTTGGGATAGTCATAGCACAGATGCTTGAAGACGTCCAGGAAAGATTGGTGTATAGAGCTCAGGTAGATCTGCTCTACATTGTGTATATATAGATAGGTATTTAGTGGGCAAATACTAGGATTTCAATTAAGTTATTTTGTTAAGGCGTTCTATGTACGCTGAATTGTTTCCTAATCAAAACCAAATCTTGTAAATTCTTGTTTCAACTAAAGCAATAAAATCTCCGTTGACATTGCAGCAAATTAAGGTTTCAAGATATTAGGAATGTATGGCGTTTTCCTATTACAAGTGTTGTGCAGCAAATATTTTTAAAATTTGAACTGTGCAAGAACAGACAATCGTCCTGTAAAAAATGTGCCAAAACATTGCATGGGGTGTCGTTTTTGCACATTACAAGATGTACATGATACATGAACAAATATCTTTGTTACATAGCCAGTGCTTGATACTAAATGTGGTTTGCTTACTTGTGGTCACGTGACTTCAGATCAATGAAATGTATCTCGTCTGGCACGGCATAAAATTGACAAAATAGAGCCAGAAGTTTAGAAATTACGTTATTCTATTTTATTGCAAGAATGCTTTATGTAATATAGAGAAGAAAAAAACACAACATCTATCAGAAAATGCTGCTGAAATCCTTTTAGCAGGTTTATTTTTAAAATAGTTTACATTGAACCGTTACTTTTCATCCTTGAAATAAAATTGTTGTGTGGATGTCGTTTCTATCTTTGCCACTCTACAACGAACTGAAATCTCTAGGGAAGCGTCAAGACTCTTGGAAAACATTTCCCGAGAGAGCGGCATTAAGTGTATAATGTTTCTTGCTTTTAGACATACATTCAAACTGATATTCAAAACTACTCGCCATCACCTGGTGATTTGGCCTACCCGGATAAACTGATGATTAAGGTAACTTGATGTGGTATAACAGGTGTATACTCTATATAGTTTTTCAGCGATTACGTTTGTGTGTGTTAGCTTCTAACAAATTATCGAGTAGTGTGACTAAAAATAACTTAATTTAATAGATTAGAACTGTAAATTATTTGGCCTATTCGCAGGCAAGTACCTATTAAACAACATGGCTTCTTCAAGTAAATGATGAAATTTCATGGTAATGCTTTTGGAATGAGAATTACCAGATTTCTGGTGTCTAGAGTATCGTTGGTATTCTATCAAAGTAGCCCACACGGCACGCGGAAAATATTTGATGTTTATTAATACGATCAAAACGGGCAAAATACAATCTACTGAACTTTGGATGTAAGCTTCATTTTCTAATTCAGTGGCGAACACTATAGGGGGGGGGGGGGGGGGAGCCTGCCCAATAATTTCTGAAAACGTTTGAATGATGGCTGGGTAACTGTGTAACAATAATTTTTCGACCAAGAAAGCATTGGTATAGGCTATAAATTAAGCTATATTTGTATGAAATGTAAGGCAAAAAAGTTAAGAACCAAGATTTGCGGCTACATATGTTGGCAACTTAACCCCCCAC